CCCCCCACTCCCAACTCCACCAAACGCCGCAGCATGATACCGTGGTCCACAGTATCAAAAGCCGCTGAGAGGTCCAAAAGAACTAGGACAGAGGAATAACCCCTGTCCCGGGCCCTCCAGAGATCATTCACCAATGAGACCAATGCCGTTTCCGTGCTGTATCCCGGTCTGAAGCCCGACTGGAGCGGGTCTAGATAGATTGGTTGGGTGGCCTGTAATATACACCTATGGTAATGTCACTTTTGTTCTCTTTTATATTGACCCATATACCTATTTTGCAGCTGTTTATGCACCTACAGGTAAAGTGACTCAAGATGAAACTGATCATGTTTCATTAGCAATAAACCAGCTATAGTTGTTATTAGTTAGTTATTTTCCCTCTCCCCCTTTTTGAGAGTGGTGTTGATGGAGAAGAAAGGCTTGTCAGATCCATATATTGCAACAGGCCTTACAATGAAAGCTCCCTGACTTTGGAAATAACAGGAGTATATTGAAATGTTTGTGTAATTGCAACACTTGGGCCACAAATTAATTGATCACCAGGGGTCTCATCTTGCATTGACTTCAACTTTGCATAGTAACTTCCATATGTCACAGGTTTTTGTAGGATACAAAATAGTATCTCCAATTATTTTCTCTCCCTTTTTCTCATTATAGATTATGTTGAATTCCCTACATAAATATGAGCCTCAAGTTCATATTGTCCGGGTAGGAGGCCCACATAGGATGGTAATGAATTGTTCTTTTCCTGAAACTCAGTTTATTGCTGTGACTGCCTATCAGAATGAAGAGGTAGGTGACTATCATATAAAAGCAATTTATCAGTTATGGGAATAACTTTAAAGTGCCCAGGTAAATTTTGTGATCCACCGCTCTTCTTTAGAATAAGTATTGTTTGATTTTATCAACAAGGATGTGTTTCTTGCATGCCTGCTATTCAATAACCACATAAGAGGCATTCATGGGACACCAGATGTTATCCTGCTGGTTCAGAAAGTTAGTTTCTTCCAACTGCAAAATTAAAGTTTCTGCTTAAGAGAGAAATTGGCTAGGCCAATTTAGTTCAATACTGTGCCGCCACAGGACAGCTGATTGCCCAGAGCAAGCTAGTAACCAAAACATAGGCAATAACTCCAACCAAGTTGTGTTCCTCACTATATAGCTTCTGATAGTGGAGGTTAATATAAAATCATTATGTGATTGATTGCTTTCTTTTTTTGAGAAGATTGTTTAATATTCTTTTAAAGTTGTCCAAATTAATGTTTGGACTATTTACATCTAAATAGTATTCAACTATGAAATTGTTTTAAATCTATCTTTTAACTTCTTTAAAAGGTACAATTTTTCCCCCTCTCTACATCACGCATTGTTTAATAAATCTCAAAGCTGCATTAAATTATATATGGTATGAAGAAAACTTTCTATTTTTCACATTTTGTGCCTTGCCTTTGTATAACTTCTTGGTGTAATATATTTGAATGTGGGAAAATGATCAACAGTCACCTTTAAAAGACTTAACAGAACCCTTCTTTATTGAATCTCAAGATAACAGCTCTCAAAATCAAATACAACCCTTTTGCCAAAGCATTTCTGGATGCAAAAGAAAGGTAAGATCAATTCATCAAATGTATGAAACTTGTTGGTGATAGAAGAATACCAGCTAGTTTCCTGTTCTTCATTCATAGTTTGTAATCTGCATTAAAAATATAATAAACACTAATGTAATGTATACATTATGATTAGGGATTATAATAATTCTTTGGCAGAGTTTAATGACAAAGAATGTAAGAGAGCTTTATGAAGTTAATTAGACTGGTAAATAATAAGTAACCCACAGAACATCATTATAGAATAAAGACATGTTAATGGAAGAATAATTTTATCAGAATCAATGAAACTTTAATCTCATTATCCCTCAGAAATCACTCCAAGGATGCTCCAGATATTGTCTCTGAAAGTCAACACATGACATATTCTCACTGTAAGTTATATACTAGCATTTGCTTACTTTAAATTGATAATTGCTATAGTAACATCTGTCAGTGCACAGTGTTGGATGTTTCACAGATGGAAAAGTATTTTGAATAATAGGCAATAGTATGAAACAGCAATATTTTTTCCAGTTTCCAGCAGCTGTGATTAGGGTTTTATTCAGATGTCCTTATTACTAATTTTCTCCATTGACGTAATATTCTGAGCACCTTATTTCACAGGGAAGGCAAACTTTAGAACTAATAGATATGTTGTTATGAATATTCTTACAACATCATTGCCGTGTTGAACCTGCCTATGTACAAATTGCTACCATGGTGGGCATGGCCAATAAGAAAACATCTATTTAGAGAAAGCAAAATGTAATGACATTGCCTCATTGTTCCTTCTTGTATGCATTCCTTTTATACTATCTCTTACATCACCTCACACTTATCTTTTTTTCTGGCCAAGATAGCTTCTTTTCAAATAATACATTAGATTACACCAACTCATCATTTTCATTTTTAGGAATTGTGACTTTTCAAAGTCACTGACCAGTTATTTATCTGCTTAATATTCCTACTCACTGTTAAAATATAGGGTTTACTTTGAATCTAACTCAACTACTGCTATCTTTGTGATTGGTCCATGTGTTTTCTTGGCAACATGATGGGAATAGGGTATTGTATTCTTCCATGGGATAGATCTAGTATTCCTTGGTAATTTCCCATTCAAATATTAACCAAGCATCCCCCTGCTTAACCTTTGGGCTTAAAGGCCAAGCCACCTAGAAAAAGAATTTCCAAACTCAGACCCAGACAAATGCCAATATTTAGATATTGTCACCTGCTAAGTTACTGTACTTTGTTTACACATTGAGTAATATAGTGATTATGGATCAGTGAGCATTCTTTATATACACAGAAATAGCATTATTGTATATTTATTTATTTATTCTATTTTTATCTTACCTTTATTATTTTATAAATAACTCCAGGTGGCAAACATACATAATACTTCCTTCTTCTATTTTCCCCAAAGCAACAACTCTCTGAGGTGGGTTTGAGTTGTGCTGAGAGAGTAACTGGCCCAAAGTCACCCAGCCGGCTTTCATGCCTAATCCAGGACTAGAACTCTTAGTCTCCTAGTTTTCAGGTCAGCACCTTAACTACTAGGCCAAACTGGCTCTCTGTATCAACCTCCAAGGGATTGCTAATTTAATCTGGTGAGAGAACTCAGTGATTCTGATAATGATGCTATAAGACGTTTGCTCTTCTAAAAGGCTCATCCTTGCTAGTAAAATCATAAAGAGAGAGCTGAAGTAAAGGTCAACTCATAACAGATATAGGGTTCTATAGGCATGAGAAAAACCAAGCCATCTAGAAAAAGAATTTCCAAACTCAGACCCAGAGGAATGCCAATGGCAAACAACTCCAGCAATGTTGCTAAGAAAACTATTGGCTTAGCTGAAACATTTGGGCAAATCTAAGTACTAAATAATTTGACACACATACTAGGTTATAGGCACTCTTTTAATTGCTGGGGAAGAGCATTTCAATTTTATGAATAGATTCTGAAGTGATAAAATACCAGTAGATAAACCAAAGTCTCAAGGAAGATTGATCACTGATTGAAAAATAAGTTCATTATTTTACAAGGATGCATACAATTAAGATTTAAATTAGTCTATTTACCTGTGGGGGAAAAAGTGAACTTAAACATATAAATTATGGATTCCAATTGTCTATTAGTCCTACGGGTGGAGTTCTTGATGAAGACTTGAAGTATAGGACTTGAAGTACATAACTATACTGCTGATAGAAAATAGATTCCCTTCCAGTCTTCTAATATCAATGTTTTTGTTATCAAAGAAGTCCCAAACTGCTAATTTCCAAGTTTTGGTACATTATGCATGGAATGAAAACATCTACAAAATCATTCCATCTTCTAGAATAAAATTGTGAAAAAGAATATCTACAAAAGGGATTGTATAAATCAAAGTAGCATTTTGAACACCATATCTACATCTAATCAACAGCAATTTCACTGATAATAAAATATGTGACATTTACTTTAGAAATTTTAATTTAGAGTAGTCAAGCAGCCATTCATAAATAATTATTATATGGCTACTACTTTGTAAAAAAACATGTTAAATCCTCAAGTACTTGAGGGGATGTAGAATACATTCTAGGGGTGGTGTTTCCTTGCTAATTTTGATAAATCAAAACTACTTATTTCACATTTAGATTTATTAATAATATACTCAGAGTATATAATGTACTGCAGGCTATCAATTGATTTTATTATTTTTAATATAGAAAACAGTATCATATACAAGAAGAGCAACTTTATGATCCTCACCTGTATATATCAAACCATGAATTTCACTGCTGTGCCTAATTGCCCAAGGAGAACAAACCTCCAGTAAAAAGAACTTAGATTAGATGGTTTTTACTTCCAATCTTTTTCTTTGAGATGAAAAGATTATTTAGTTATCCTATATTTTTTGAGTATGTGTTTGCATGACAGACTAAAAGATATGTATGTATGTATGTATGTATGTATGTATGTATGTATGTATGTATGTATGTATATTCCTGTTTCCCTACTTCAGCTTTTTTTTTTTTTTACTCAATTCTCAATATTTCCATAGTGGGTGGTTGGTTGATTTCCAATCCTGATGCTGTCTGTGCAGCAGGATCTTCCAATTATCCATATACCGGGAGTTTTTCTCTGC